TAGGCTTTGTGGTAGAGCCTATTGCGTCGAAGCCATAAACCTGTACGCATGTACTGTAGTATCGCAGGCAGTTATAACACAGTGGCAAGTATTTATGTATCCAAACCTAGCAAAACATAGAGGGCCCTGTTGACTAACACCGTTGTGCAGTGCATGACTGCACTTAGCTTCTTAGCAGTGTGCTTCCTTGTCTGTTGGATGGGGGGTGACAGTATTGCCTGCCTCATAGTGTGTTCGGAATGTTCAGTGAGAGGACGCAGGGGAAGAGTTTGCAGCAGTGCCTGGTATTCAAGGGCATGGGCGCAAACGTGAGCAGCATTGCACCCTGCGCCTGTGCTGGTGCTGTCATTGCTGCTTCCCCCATCGGCAGCAGGGAGAGGGGAAACGCTGCGCTACTGAGACTTGGAGGGAGCTGTTTTCTTTTTCCTTTTTTTTTTTTTAAGTTCAAGGGTACAAGTGCAGGTTTGTTACATAGGTAAACTTGTGTCATGGAAGTTTGTTGTACAGATTATTTTGTCACCCAGATATTAAGCCTAATACCCATTAGTTACTTTTCCTGATCTTCTCCCTCTTCCCACCCTCAACCCTCTGAAAGTCCCCAGTGTGTGTTGTTTCCCTCCATGTGTCTATGTGTTCTCATCATTTAGCTCCCAGTTATAAGTGACAGCATGTGCTATGTTTTCTGTTCCTGTGTTCGTTTGCTAAAGATAGTGGCCTCCAGCTCCATCCATGTCCCTGCAAAGGATACTATCTTCTTTTTTATGGCTACGTAGTATTCCATGGTGTGTATGTATATATCACATTTTCTTTCTCTGGTCTGTATCATTGATGGGCATTTAAGTTGATTCCATGTCTTTGCTATTGTGAATAGTGCTACAATGAGCATACATAGGAATGTGTCTTTATAATAGAATGACTTATATTCCTTTGGGTATATACTCAGTAATGAGATTGCTGGGTCAGATGGTATTTCTGTTTTTAGGTCTTTGAGGAATTGCCACACAGTCTTCCATAGTGGCTGAACTAATTTATACTCCCACAACAATGCATAAGCGTTCCTTTCTCTCCACAATCAAAGGGAGCTATTTTCATAGCAGATCCTCGGACCTGGACCTGTCTTCCAAGAGTGCTGGTTAGAAGCAGTACATAAATACAATTTGAAAAGTTAGTCCCAGACCTTCACACAGTGGTGGTGGGAATGTGAAATGGTACAACCACTTTGGGAAATAGTCTGACCCAGCACTTCTGCTCCTGGGTACACACCCAAGAGAAATGAGAGCACACGAACACTGTGTAGGAATGTGCATAGCAGCACTATACACAGTAGCCAAAAAATGGAAACGGTCCAAACGTCCATCAACAGATGAATGGATAAACAAAATGCAATATAGCCACACAATGGAACGTTTTTCAGCTGTAAAAAGGATTGAAAGACTGACACATGCTGCAATGCAGAGGAACCTTGAAAATACGCTAAATCCTTGAAAATATGCTAAATGGAAACCAGATTTTTCCATGTATGCAAGGTATCCAGAAGAGATACATCCACAGAGGCAGGAAGCAGGTTAGCAGTTGTTGAGGTGGGGGCAGGTGTCAAAGGGAAGTGACTACGAATGCTCCAAGGCTTTTCAAGGGGAGATGGAAATGTTCTGCACTTAACTGCTGTACAGCTCTGTGAACATGATGCTAAAAGCCATTGAACTGTACACGTCAGGTAAATTGTATGTAAATTATATCTCAATAAAGCTGTTGTTAAAAAGAAAAGCTAGGCCGGGGTGGTGGCTTCACGCCTGTAATGCCAGCACTGTAGGAGGCTGAAGCAGGCGCATCAGTTGATGTCAGGAGTTTGAGACCAGCCTGGCCAACTTGGTGAAACCCTATCTCTACTAAAAATACAAAAATTACTATAAAATACAATACTAAAAATACAAAAATTAGCTGGACTTGGTGGCAGCCACCTGTAGTCCCAGCTACTTGGGAGGCTGAGGCAGGAGAATCACTTGAACCCAGGGGGTGGAGGTTGCATTGAGCCGAGATCACACCACTGCACTCCAACCAGGGCAACAGAATGAGACTGTCTCCAAAAAAAAAAAAAAAAAAAAAAAAAAAAAAAATTAATACCAGGATTAAATAAAAATGAGATCATCTGATTAAGAGCAGGAAGTTTTTTTCCCTCCTCCAGGGAAATAGATTGGACTCTGGAGTTAAAATTTTCCCCTCTTTGATAACTGTTATTTACCCCCATTTGCTCTCCTTTCTCTGTGCGTGATAGGGTTCAGTGATGCCCGCCTCACAATAAGTAATTTTTAAAGGGCATAAAAGAGAGTGTAACTGTGAGATTTTGACACACAGGTAGTTAATATATGCTAATTTCCTTCAGTTCTGGCCCAGCTTGGTATGTTTTTGCCTTTTATTAATGCTTCTGAAATCCTTTTTGGAAGGAGGTAGAACCCTCACTTTGCACATGAGGAAACTGAGGCCCAGAGAGGTGGAGAGGTGGTAGGCATTTGCTTCATACTGAGTTGGTGAAGCTGAGACACAACCACGTTCAGCGACAGAGCAGGGGTTTCGTTGGGCTGGGGGCCAAGTGCCCAAACAGTTACTGTGTAAGAGGGAGGAGTGGGCTTCAGGGACAGTGAGCAATTTGGTGACACTGAACCCTGGAACCGTGGCCTCAGAGTGGGACCTGTGCCTCCAGGAGGCCAGTGGATGATCCCTTGAGAAGAAAACTTTGGAATTTCATTATGTTCCATCTAACGTATGTCTCTATGTGTGTGTGTGCACACGCATGCACCCTCATAATAGACTGGCACCTATGTATGGATACACAGCTCATTCAGGGCCTGCACTATCAGCATTTTGAGACCACGGTCCCAGGGACCAGGGTGGGAGTCAAAGACCAGAGAGGAAGGGCCACCTTAGGAAAGCCCTTCTGCCTCCGCGGTTGTTCCTCCACGATGGCTTCTGGCTCACTCTGGTAACGAGTGCACTGGCCACTTTACCATTTCATGTCATCCAGTCCTCACTGTGGTCCATGGAGTTTCCTCAGTTAGCAAACAAGAGAGTCCACCTCAGAGAGACAAGATGCCTTGTCTAAGGAGGTGGGGGTGGGGTGTGCTTTTACATGGGGGTGTTGGGCTCAAGAGGGAAGTCAGAGCAACCCTTCATTTGTCCAGAGGGTTCAGACAGGCACCGCCACCATGCCAGGATGCCCAGGATGAGAACTTCTGTCAAATAGAGTAAAGGGGCTGGAGCTGGAGAGAGGGGATTGGGAAAGCCAGGATCCCTACCTTGGGCAGGAAGGCCCACCTGTCCTGTGGCTGTGGCCATAGCACTCAGTGTGGGCCTCCCCAACCAGAAGGTGGCAGGGGCTTGGATCCAGCCCTCCTGGACTAACTTAAAGATGGGGTCTGAGGCTGCCTCCTCTACCCTCTCCTCAAGAAACACCCACTCCACTGTTGGAGAGCGCTGAGCTGGGCTTGAATGTGGCTCCTCCTTGTGTCCCCCCAGGGTCATTGCTGAGGCAGGATACCAACGGTGTGTGCTGAAAGGGTGAAACCACTGAAAGAGGCTTCCCTGTGAGCCCAGCCTCCATTCCACCTGCTGTGCCACCTCCATTCTGAGCTGGACCCACAGGGGATGGCAGAGTCCAGAGACCCCACAAGGAAAGGCTTCTTGGACCTGGGCATTTAACCATGGAGAAAAGAGCCAGCAGCCATGTAGGCAAGGGCTTTGCAAAGCCAGCAGTCCTAGGGTCTGACTCCTGCAGGCAGGCATCAAGGGGTGTAGAAAGAGGTGGCAAGTAGGTCAGAGGAAATAACAGGAAGATCACAGGAGCTTGAGCTGGAGGGACGAGGAGGTTGCATCTAACTCGTATCTGAAAGAAAGAAGGTCGGGGGTGTGGAGAGTGGTTGGTCTGAACTCAGCGTGGGCACCAGACCCAGCATCCTGCTCTTCAGACCAAGCCCCCATTGACTGTCAGCGAGGAGCTTGAGGCTGGATAGTGGGAGGAACCTTCTCGACCTCTGGGTGGAAGGCAGCCCAACTGCAGGCCACCCCTCAGATGGATCAGAAGCATCTCCTGCTTCTTCAAGAATGAGAACAAGGAAATGGTGGGCTGTTGGGGGTGCTCGGTGGAAAGGCCAGCAGCTGCCCATTAGTGGGGTGGAGTCAGTGTGGAGCATGTTAAGGACAGGGGCACCCCTGGTGTAGTGGTAGCCATGGCGACCTATCTGCTCTCCCAAAGCATCCTTACGTTGGGAGAGTAAGAAAAAGGCCAGAGGGCACAGGGCTAAACAAGTCATCTCCATAAAGGTCCTCTTGCCTAGCCCTTCGCCTCAGTAGGGACTTCTTAAAGGCTTCCTTTCCTGCTTTTGGTTTTCTGTCCCTAATTTCAGTGTCTAACAGCTTTTGCTGTAAGAAAAACAGTTACCGTTTGCCATGCCAGAACTGGCGTGGCAGCCTTTGCTGGGGCTCTGCTCTGGCCCTGGGAAGGTGCCGTGGGCCAGGCTGCTGGGTGTGCTCCTTGGCCGCCTCTAAAGAACACACAGTGCACCCACCCCACAGCCTGCTCTCAAGGATGTGGCTTCTCTCTGGCCCCCTCGTTGCCTCTAAAAATAACCCTGCTATTTTGAAACTGCCTCCTCTGGAGCTTTTTCTTGCTTCTCTGTGGGATCAGCAGCCCTTCTGAGACCAGGATCTCGGCTGCCCCTGTCACCCCAGCTGTCCCCATCCTGTCCTCCCCTGCACATCCCCTCCAGTGCAAGTGGGATGTTGCTTTCCAAGTAGGAGGGGTATTTAGCTGGGTGTCCGCTGGAGAAGGCCAGGCCTGTCCCCGTCCTCCCTGGGATGGGCGCAAAGGAAGAGGACCTGGGGCTGGGGCGAGGGAGAGCACGCCTGGAGGCCCCACAGGCTGTAAGGGTCAGGAATGGCCTAGAGCTGTGGGACGTCTATGGCCCCGTTGGCTGGCCTCTGGGTGACTCTCTGCCACCTTCTTGCAGCCCACGACTCTGCCTCAGGGCACCATCAACATGAACCAGTGCACAGACGTGGTGGATGGGGAGGGCCGCACGGGCCAGAAGTTCTCCCTGTGTATTCTGACGCCTGAGAAGGAGCATTTCATCCGGGCAGAGACCAAGGAGATCGTCAGTGGGTGAGTATGCTGGTGCTGTGGAACAAGGCGCCACCACCTGCTGCGGGGCCAACACCAAATGGGCCACCTGCCCCTGTGGTGATGTCGACGTTGTCTACTTCCCCACGTGTCTCTATTCTTGGGCTCTGTCTCCGTTCTTCGCACTGCCATGTGCTGAGCAAAGCAGAAATCAGGACATCCGCCATTCCACCTGCAGCCTCTGGGGACCCCTCTTTGCTCTGGCCACCTTACTCTCCTCGGGCCTCCCCACCTTTGCACTCACCACACCCCCAACTCACCTGCCCCTCCACCTGGAAGGGGATCAGTCCCTGAAGCGCATGACCTGGGCACGCCTTCCCCCAGTCTGGGGTGGCTGCCTCTCCTTCCAGAGAGGGTGTGGGCTCCACCACCTATGAAAGCACCAGGTTACTGCTGTGTCCACGTGTTTCTCCCTCAGTGATGGTGGGGGTGGGAGGTGTCTCAGTCACATCCCCAGCACCTCACACCCGTGCCACTCTGCTGTCACTGCACGGATTGGTTTCTGTGAGTGGAGAGAATGGATAAGTCTTTCGCTCACCCAGGTCCCCCAAAAGTGGCGGACTGGCTCAGGTTGAGAGAGCCCAGAGTCCAGGGGCCTGAGCACAGTGCTCCTGAGCCCAGGGCAGCATCTGCCTTCCCAGAGCTCCCAATCTAGCAGGGGATTCTTTGCTACCCGCATGGCCTGGGCCATGATGAAAAGCCGTATGTGGTCCGTGCAGGTGACAGGCTCATTGGGCCTGACAGGAGCTCACAAACTGGATCTCCAAGAATCCCTGTCTTGCTTAAGGCTGAGAAGGAGGCACATGAGTCTAAGAAACTCTGGGAGAAAGTAAACCTGAGGCTTGCTGGGCCAGGCTGACTGTAGCAGTAGAGAGTAGAGGGAATCAGGAATATGAAGCCCTTGGGTTTGAACACACAGATGACTTGGAGCACCAGCCTTGCTTTAGCCTCTCAGCTGCAGCCTGGCCAAGCCTGGTGAGTGAGCACGGCCATAAGTCCAGGGTCACGTGGCAAGGCATCCGGGAGCCAGTGCTGGGCCCCGGGGGGAACTCTCTGCAGATGTGTACTCTCCCCTAGAGTCCTCCTCTGGAGAGAGGCAGGTTTGCATTTCTGAGCACCTGGAGCTGAGCTGGAGGAGAACTTGTGTCTCCCCCGATCTTAATCCAGAACCATATGATCAAGAATGTCGAGGGCTTCTGAAGAACCCTTATGGTACAGTCGAGGAGACCCAGGGCCTGGAGACGGGAGCCTGGCCAAGGGCACCTTCTGCACTTCCTGGCTAACACCTGTTGCTGCTATTGGCCGGGCGGGACACAGCCGAGGCTCCCTCTGCCCAGGTGGCTTCCCTAGGAAACCCTCACCCTTTCCACAGGAGCTGGGTCCCAGGGAGGGTGTGGGTAACAGGTGGGATGGATGGGAGTTCTGGGTCTCCAGAGCAGGCTGGGAGTGTCTGGAGCAGGGTTGGTTCTAGGACCAGCCCAGAGAGGTATGTGTTGTACCATGTGGTATTAGGAGAGGGTGATGTTTTGCATTTGGACTGCCTCCAGCAGGCAGCGTAAGTCCTGCCAGAGGTCCTCACTCCATCCCAAGCCCCTCTCCTATTTCGGCTCTCTTCTGTTGCATGTTCAGGCTTGCCATACCCATGCAGCTTGGATAGACAAGATCATTAATGGACCAAGGTACCAAGTGCACACGCCATTGGGGCCCCACATGTGGTGTCTCAGTGGCATATCCAAAGCCAGGATAAGCTACCTGAGGCTCTTCCGCTTCCCCTCGCCCTGGTTGTGAGCCATGTTAGTTTGTGTCCAACAGGCAGGTTCTCACGTGGCAGCCTATCCTGGGCCTCTGCAACCCCTCTCATGAAAGTGGGCAGCCACTTCCTTACCTTCCCACAAGCTGGGATGCTGAGCTGTGTGAGGGAGTCAGGCGTGGCCTGTGCACCCTGGGGACAAGTACTTTTGCCTCCTTCTCCCGTTGCTCTGTCTCCTGCCCTCGCTGACAGCCCCCTTCCTCTGCTCCCTCTGTTGCCCATTATAACTCCTCTTCCCAGTAACCTCATCCCTAGGCTCTGGAGTGCCACTCTGCGTCTGAGCTCTCTGATCACATCAAAGCTGGTCCCTAAGGAGGTGCAGACACTTCCGCCAGGCAGCTGGGAGCAGGGTGGATTGGGGACAGTCCTACCCAGCCTTCTTCCCAGGTCTTCTCTGCATAGCCCTGACAGCTGCGTGGGCTGCCAGGTCTCTCCTGGGCCTGGGAAGAGGAAGTTGGCAGCTCTTTCCAATTCCCACTTCCAGGATGCTGGACCACACTTTACACAGCTCTTTTAGACGAGGTGGGATTTGGGTAGGAGTTGGCAAGGGAGCTCAGCTGGGTGAAGTCTGGGCTTCCCTTCTCCCTGCCCTGCCTTTTAACCTTACCCACTCATCTGGGCTCTGCCGTCCCCATCTGGAGAGCCCCAGCACCTACCAGTCCCATATTCACACTCACTCCGCTCCTCTCTTCTTGGGGTTTGTTTTGTTAACATTTATAACACATCTGGGTGATGTTAGATGCTTCCTATTGGACTTCCTTGAGAAATCCAAGTGCAGAGGACACAGTCCATCATCTGTTCCTGGACCCTGCATCTCTGTGACTCCAGCCACAGACTCCAGTCTGAACAGAGATTAAGGTGTGTAATGGGACTGAGGCCACATGGGACACCTGCTGTCCTGGCTCCTCCTGAGTCCCGGGCTTGCTGGAGCCAGCCCAGGAGAGCTCAGCAGCTCCACGTAGTCAGCAGAGCACCTGCGGTGCAGCCTTCTCCCCTCCCCTCCAGGTTCCATCCTGCAAGGCCATTAGTCATTGCTGACTGATGGAACCTGGGCCAGTCTGCAGGGGCTTGGGGTGCCTGGCAGGGTTCTGCAGCTCCAGCATGCTCCACACCTCAGGGAAGTGTTAAGTGCAACCTTCTGCAGGCACGGTCCCTCAGAGTGGTCAGGAGAAGTGGCCGCTGCCATGGCAGACTAGAAGGGCAAACATGTTTAACCCCATATGCTTCGTGAACACCCCAGGTTGTATGAGCGAGGCCCTCTCCTGGGACCTCTTCTCCCAGCCAGCCTTAATGAGATGTGTGACCAGGGAGGAGAGGGGCTCAGGACCCTCAGAAGGCCTGCCTGTCTGCTGGCTTTGCAGATAGTCACAGCCTCCTTTCTTGTTTTGGGGCCGTGGAGGAATGACCCACAGGACCTGTGGCTTGGGTCTCTGGCAATGCAGTTGTTTATTCATTCTCTTAACAAATCGAGCATCACTGGCTGTGGGCTGAGCTGGGCTGAGGGTGGCCCTTCAGCTCTGTTGCTGTGGTTCCCTGCGTTAAACCCGGCCTCTGCTGCCACCAGATGTCAACCGCACACCCATCCTGAGACTGTCTCAGAAGCCAGTGACTCTGACCCTCCTTTTGTCTGTTCATCTGTCCTTCCCTCCTTTCTTCATTTTCTCCTTCCCTCTCTTCCTTTCCTGCTTCCTCCCTCCTCCCTTCCCTCCTCCTCCCCATCCTCTTCCTCTCTTCCCTCCTCTATCCCTTTTTTCCTTCCCCTCCTTTCCCCTCCACCTCAAATTAAAGAAACACCTCTGGGCACAGAAGACTCGAGCCCTTCTCCTGCCCCAGGCTCAGTGTGCTGTTGGGTGCTGCGCCCGTGTGATCTCTAGCAGGGTGCGGCAGTACAGACCGCCCCCATCCCCAATCCTGGGCCCAGGCTGCCAGCAGGACCAGCATGGACCCTGGTGCTGGAAGACCTGGAGCAGTGTCTTCTGAGGCTCCTTCCACTCTGGAGAGGACACTAGGGCTGTCCTTGCACAACCAGGCCCAGGGCTGGAGCTGGGGCTTCAGAGGCAGGACCTACACTGCCCTCCGCTCCTCCCACCCCCGTCCTCCAGCCCTCACAGGACTCGCAGGCAGCTCTGGCAAGGCGACTGCTGTTAGTTCCTTTGTCTGTTGTAAAATTCTGTATGGTGGAAGTAGTCGTCGTGCCATGATCCGATCTAGCTTCTGATTTCAGACATGAGAAGATTAAAGCTCCTAAGGTCCTAAGGGGCCAGGAGCTACCCAGGATTGTGGTGGGATGGAGGCAGAGCCAGATCCAGAGTCCTCCTGCTGGCAGTGCCTGCTCTTGCTGTACCCCTGATGTCTATCCAGAGTGAACTTCCCACATACAAGCCCTGACGGGGTCCCTGGGCAGCTCTGCCCAGCCTTCCTCAAAGCCAGGGTGCCCAGCACCCTCCCTCTGCAGGGACTGTGGGAGTTCAGCTCTCCCCCCACTCTAGTCCCTCAAGAGGACCCGTTGTGGGAACTTGGCCAGCATAGCTCCTAGATTCTCGCCTCAGGGCCAGCACCTGCCTCTGTTGCCCTAAATGGCTCCCAGTCACAGCTCATCTGTGTTCTTGCCAAGCCCACTCTGGGAGAGCAGTGTTAGGGCAAGTCCTGGAGACAGGGTCAGTAATGGAAGTTACATGTCCTGTGCTCTGAGGCCATGGCCAGGCCTGGCCTCTCTGCCAGCATGGAGTCTCTGTCGTGTCCTGAGCCTGCTGTGGTTGTGGCAGGGTCATCGTCCAGACTTGCTCTGTGGGCGCTTCTAGCCCCAGCATAGCAATCTGTCGCTGGGGACAATGCCCTGCTCTCCTTGGTGCCCAGAGACCTGGACTACCCCAGCAAGGGCCAGGGCTCCTAGTCCCCGAGTGCCAGGATCTTACCTGGTACTTGTCTCCTTTTCCCTTCCCAGGTGGCTGGAGATGCTCATGGTCTATCCCCGGACCAACAAGCAGAACCAGAAGAAGAAACGGAAAGTGGAGCCCCCCACACCACAGGTAGGCAGTGTGTTTGCCAGGTGACATCCCCTCAGTGGAGCCAGGTCTTGGGAAGAAGTGAGGGCTCTCTGGAGGTTAGAGGGTGAGGACGCAGTCAGGCCAGGGCTGAGGCGGTCACCACCTCTGCACATCCTTGCTGTGGGCTCTGGTCTGCAAGATCCTCACTGAGCCACAGGGGAACCACAACAGGGACAGGATGGCCTGCTAGTGTGCTCTGGGGCTGCCCAAGGGAAGTTTCCAGTCAGCCTGCAGTACACAGCTGTGACACCTCCCCTCGCTATCCTGCTGGCAGCTGGGGAGGGGCAGCACGGGCAGCCTGCAGCCACAGGCAAAAGGACTCTGCACCCACAGGTGGCCCTGCAGGCAGCCGGATGGGGAGGAGAGTCCTGGAGTGGCATGGCCCCTGAGGAGCTCACAGGGGCCCTTGCTCCAGTTCCCATGTGACCTGAGCAGGGCGTGGCTGGCTGGGGTGGTCCCTCAAGGCCCAGTCCTTCCGTCCTTCCCCACAGGCCATGATCCTCCTTTTCTCCCTGGCCAGTGTGCAAGGCTCAGGGCATAGAAGGGTCCTACATTGCCTTACCACACTCCCCATGTTCCTGGGTCCATGGGGGAATGAGGTAAGCTTTTTGAGCCTCAGTTAATCAACTTGCAAAGCAGGCCTGTTGCTGCCTAATCGCCAAGATTGTTGTGAGCATGAAAGGAAGTTTTGGACCTATTATGGGTTCTCAGTAAATGTAATTCCTTTGCCTCTGTACCATATGCTACTGTTCCCAAGTGCTTTGCCTTGTCCTGAGCCTCCTAGTCACCCTGAGAGGGAGCAGGGTGGGGATGGGAGTCCCTTGGGCATTACAAGGCCAGAGGCCCACAGAAGTTAAGAGAACCAGCCCACAGGCTGCAGAGGTCAGGGGGCATGCACTAGCCTGGGTCCCTTTCTCCTCTCAGCCCCTTGGGCTGCCCTTAGATGTACCTGCCCTGGGCTGCTGTATTGGCCCTCCTGCTGATGGAGTCAGCCTGGGCCACTCTCAGCCTATGGTCATCCACCCTCCATTCTGGGGTTGAGGGTGGGAGACACCCAAGCCAACATCCGCTGGAAAGGAGATGTCACTAGCAAGAGGCTGGCAAAAAATACGGAGTGGTTCCTGGGACTGAAAATGGAGCTTCCTGCTGGGGAACAGCAGTTGATACGTAAATCCCCCAAAGCTACCCGGTTTGAGAGAAACAAAAAAATCACAGGCAGAATAACAGCGTTTAGGGTTACGCTGCGTTTCCATGGTGATGCCTTGGAAACAGTACAGAAGCAGAGTTCCTGCCTTCAATAAGGTAACTCCAAGTGCAGAGGCCACTTTCAGCCCAGGCCAGGGAACTTGCTTGCTCTCCCTCCCTCATGACACCCAGCTCCCCAAAACAGCTACCCATGACCAAGCGTCAACTTTTTTGTTGGTAGAGGAGCCACATGATCCCAGGGTGGGTAGATTACCCTCAGGTAGGTTCCCTGAGGGTCTCTTAGAGTCTGGAGCACAGGGTTCCTAGCCTGCACTCAGCCTCCTCCTGAGACAACCTTGTGGGGTCTCTCCTTTGTACCCCTTGGTCCCTAGAGCATCCCATTTGAGGCTGCTTGTTTCCAGAAGCTTTCAACTTTAATCAGGGGCCATCTCTTTGTCAAGTCAGTCTTGTGGGGTGACGTGGGGACCCTGCAGCGGAGCAGCAGGGACCATGGTTGAGATGGGGGTCTTTGGGCAGGCCTCCCCTCTGCATGCAGCCTGATGCTAAAGGCATTCTCATGGCCTAGGGTGGGCCTGGGGGTAAACCTCACACCTGCAGAGCACCTGGAGACGCGAAAGCCCGAGACTCTATACTTCTTTCTCCATGGCCCAGTGTAGGTCCAGGAGAGTTTCACATTGAACCAGTGGAGGGCTTGAAGTGGTGGCTGTCCGTTGTACCCAATAAGAATCAGCTTCTGCCCTTGAGGAACTCAGGTGGGACCTTCTGGAAGGTTCTGTTCCAGAAGTTGGGGCCAAGGATCACACTGCGGGAGCAGCAGACAGCCTTTCAGCTGAGGGCGGGAGTCTCAACAGAGTCTAGGACTGGTAGAAGGAAGGACTTGGCCCTGACCAGTGTTTCCAAAGCCTGCAGCCTGAGAGGCGTGGGCTCCAGCCAATAAAGGAGAAAGCCTGGAGCAGAAGGAAGTGATGACCCATGTAAGTGTGAAGGGCAGGAAGGATGGAGATGGATGGGAAGCCCAGAGCTATGTTTCCAGCCGGGTCTGCAGGCCCCGGGTCTCCACTCCTCTGGTGGAGCTGAAGGAGGCCCGCTGCTCCATCTCCCAGCCCACAAGGTTCTGCTTTTCTCCGGCTTTCTTGTGAGTTCAGTGTGAGCCCAGCCAGCACCACCGGGCCCACATGTGTGTCTCCTTCTTTAAGAATCCTGTTTTTTACTGGGGTGTCTACTGCCACCACCACCACTCCAAGTTAGAATTCTTCCTTCGTGTTGGTTGCCGTGCTCCGTGTTCCTGCTAGGGAAGTGGGGAGCCTTCTGAAACCCCTGCAGAGAGAGGCCCTGCTTGGCAAGCAAGACTGTAGAGCAACTTTGTTTTGGGGAAGCGCTACTGCCATGGTGGGCAGTTAGGGTGGTTCTGCATCCAGTACAGCTGCTGGTTTCCCATGGGTGAGCAGCCCAGGGCGCGGTGCTTGCTACAGGGACAGGCGGTCCTGGGGTGACATACCCTTGGGTCATTGGAGCCATTGGGAAACTTCTCAGGAGAAACCTTCACTATTTGCTTCCGAGAAGCTGGCTTCTTCTGAGGGGAGCCTTCAGCCTGGGAGTCTGTCTGCTGGCAGCCCTAAGCTGAGTAGGTGGTCAGGTGTGCGTCCTGGGTCTGTGGGAACAGCCTCCCTGCCTTTATCCTGTCTGTGAGGCCTGGAATCCTTGCAAAAGTTCCAACAGCTTTGGACCCAGAGCCCCACCCAAGACAGTGCCCCACCAGTGGGTGAGACTGGATGTATGGAGCCCAGCCAGGCTATTAATAAATAGTCTGGTGGTGATGCTGCATCTGCAAGTGTGCACACATGCAATAAAGAACCTGTGTCATCTGCAACCCTCTCCAAGGGCCTAAGCCAGAGAGGGACTAAGGTGGGTTTCTAAAAATGAGGCTTGGCCATCAGGATGGGAGTGGGAGGTGGGCACTTGTATATCATGCTCTTTTGCGAGAGAGCTGAGATATGCTTCACTTTTGGAGAGGGGCCAAAGCCATCCTGTTGGCAGCCCTCTGAGCAGGGTTGTTGGGGCTCAGGATGTAACCTGGCACTGCAGAGCAGCTGGGGATCACAGCCCTGCTGTTGTCTGGATTCTGTGTTTGCAGAGTCGAGTTAAGGTTCTCTGCCCAGGGACTGGACTCTGCATCTGCCTAAATGCCTGCCCCACAGACACTTCTCCCTCGGAGCAATACCACTTTCACAACCTGGAGAGATTGGGGTTTGACACCTTTTCCATCTGGGCTACTGGCTTGTGCATGTGTGAGCTTGTGAGTGTGAGAGAGCGAGCATGTGCACATGAATGTGTATATGCATTTGTGAGTGTGTGCCTGTATGCAGATTCAAGTGGGGTGTTTGGTGTCTTTGTGTGTTCTGTCTGCTATAATAAAATACCACAGACTGGTCAGCTTATAAATAATAGAAACTTTTCTCACAGCAGGCTGGTTAGTCCAAGATTAAAGTGCTAGTACTTTGGGTGTCTGGTGAGGGCCCCCTTGCTGGTCCTCACATGTTAGAAGGGGCAAGGCAGCTCTCTGAGGCCTCTTCTATGAAGGCACTAAACCTGTACATGAGGGCTCCACTCTCATGACCTAATCACCTCCTAAAGGCCCCACCTCCTGATACCATCACCTCGGGGATTAGGATTTCAACACATGAGTTGTGGGGAGACACATATATTGAAACCATAGCATTTAGTTTGCATCTGACAACTCTTTCCTTCACATAGCGTCTGGACACTCCATTTTAGCCTCTTAGGAGCAAAAAGCAGATGGTGGGTAAGGCCTCAGGGCTGGCCCAGACTTGGGTGCTGTGAACTTGTTCTTGCGTTCACCGTAAGGAGCTACAGATGATGCTGGACCTGTCTCGAGGGCGTGCTCTCTTTCCACACTCTGTTCTGTCTCGCCTTATTCGAGTCTTGAATGTCTAGGAATGACAGACTCCACATCTACTACTGTGGTCTCACTGTTAATGCCTGACCCACTGTTACGGGGCACTATCTGAAGATTCCAGGCCCCTGACATTGTATAGTTAGTTGGTCCTGGTGTTCCCTATAGCTGGGCAGCCAGGACATGTGACCCATCCTGAGCTGTGTGCTCCTGCACCTGCACAGACACCACTTTCTCCTCCTCCAGGAGCCTGGGCCTGCCAAGGTGGCTGTCACCAGCAGCAGCAGCAGCAGCAGCAGCAGCAACAGCAGCAGCAGCAGCAGCATCCCCAGTGCTGAGAAAGTCCCCACCACCAAGTCCACACTCTGGCAGGAAGAAATGAGGGCTAAGGACCAGCCAGATGGCAGCAGCCTGAGTCCAGCTCAGAGTCCCAGCCAGAGCCAGCCTACTGCTGCCAGCTCCCTGCGGGAACCTGGGCTGGAGAGCAAAGAAGGTGAGCGGGGGCCAGGCTGGCCTGTATGCACTGGAACGGCCCTTCCTCCCATCAGAGCTGGCCCTGGGGATTCAGCCAAGGCCTGTAGCGCCCAGTCACAAACCCTGGACCTCCATTCCCTTTGTCCATCAGCCCTGTGGGGAGCATCTAGCCTGGTATGGACTGAGATTCCTGGGCTCCAGTCTTGGCCTTGCCCCTTCTAGCTCTTAAATCCCATCTTAAAAGGAGGAAGACAGCTCCTGTTCTCTCAGCCCCAGTTGCTTGTCAGGAGAATCAAAAACGTTTTGCAGCAGGGTCTGTGGATGGGAAGGCCTCTGTCACTGCACCATCGTGTTTCTGTGTGCATCCTGCCCCAGGAAGCAGCAGTCAGTTTCATCCCTCACCATCCGCATTCTGCCTGGGCCCCTGGCAGAAGGAGGGGAGGGGGTGCTGGGGAGGCAGCAGTTGGCATCCTCGTGCCCTATCTTTTAGCACTTTGGAATTGCCTGAGCAGGAGTAGGGCTTCCATCTTTGCCTCTCTTGTTCCCAGGCTCTAGAGGGCTTTGTAAGACACAGGCTGGGTTTTCCCATCTGTATTTTGTCCAGATTGTTAAAAGTAAGTGAGCATCTGGGGCCAGCCCAGCTCACTCTGGCTGCATGTTTTACATGCACTCTGGGTAGAAGGTGTTTCAGTCTTCCTCTCAGGCCTATCCATGTGAAAAATCTGTTCACTTTGTCTCACTTCTGTAGAAGTCCCCTGCCCCTTCCCACCCCCAGAATACACTAAAAGACTGAAGGGGCTGGGCATGGTGGCTCACGCCTGTAATCCCAGCACTTTGGGAGGCTGAGGCAGGTGGACCACCTGAGGTCAGGAGTTTGAGACCAGCCTGGCCAACATACTGGAATCCCATCTCTGCTAAAAATACAAAAATTAGCCAGGCGTGGTGGTGCATGCTTGTAGTCTTAGCTACTTGGGAGGCTAAGGCAGGAGAATCACTTGAGCCCAGGAGGCAGAGGTTACAGTGAGCTGAGATCGCACCACTGCACTCCAGTCTGGCGACAGAGCGAGATTCCGTCTCAAAAAAAAAAAAGACTAAAGGGCTTTTTGACTGTCAGCTTCCCCCTTGATGTTGGTGAGAAGCAGTTGGTGGTGGTTGTCTTGTGTCCTGAGGTACAGTTTTGTTCTTCCAACCAAGCCCCCAGACCAGAAGTGCAGGAGCTGCAGGGGAGAGATGGATGAGAGAAAAAAGCATTCACGGAATATTTCATTCCCATCCATGGTTCTTTCCATCTGACTGTGCCCTTGAGTGGGCTGTGCTGGACGTTAGAGATGGAAAGTAGAGAAGGCCCCTGCTTGGATCCTACATGGACTTTTAAAAAAAGTCCTCAAAGCAAAACTGCCAGCAGGCTGAGTGCGTCCCCTCCCTCCGACTGTCTTCCAGAGGAGAGCGCCATGAGTAGTGACCGCATGGACTGTGGCCGCAAAGTCCGGGTGGAGAGCGGCTACTTCTCCCTGGAGAAGACCAAACAGGACTTGAAGGCCGAGGAGCAACAGCTGCCCCCGCCGCTCTCCCCTCCCAGCCCCAGCACCCCCAACCACAGGTACAGTTGCCCCGAGTCGCCCTCCCGGGAGCTCGGTGGTCCTCTTCCTTCCCCAGGTCCTCGACTCCCCCACCGAATGGTCTGCAGCATCTCCCTCGGCTCCCTGGATGTGGCCAGCCAGCCACCTGCCTACGTGGACTCTGGCAGCACTAGGGGGCGGGGGACAGAGAGACTGGGGAGCACCTTTGCCTTTAAAGCCAGCAGGCAGTATGCCACCCTGGCCGACGTCCCTAAGGCCATCAGGATCAGCCACCGAGAAGCCTTCCAGGTGGAGAGAAGGCGGCTGGAGCGTAGAACTCGGGCCCGGAGCCCTGGCAGGGAGGAGGTGGCCCGTCTGTTTGGCAACGAGCGGAGGTAAGGAGCAGGTTAGAGGGCTGAACACCCAGGCCCACAAACCATGCACTTCCACCCACGCATATACACTCACACTGTTTCTCTCACATACAGTCCCCAAGCCTCGCTTGTGAGGGGAGCGTGCTTTCTGTTCAGAGCATAGGGGCATTTTCCCTCTGGGCCCAGAACTCAGCTCTTGTAGCCAAATGCAGAATTTCTGACCATCAGAGGTCGAGGCCAAGAATAGCAGTTTTCACATCAGTGCCTCCTAGGACTGGGGCCTTAAGGTTCCCTGGTGGGTTCTCAGCTGCCTGGTTCTTGTAGGGCTGGATCTTATCCTCCTGGGCCATTTCTGTTCTCTGAAGTGGCATGGAGGCAGGAAGACCCTAAAGCTACATGTGGTGACAGAGGCGCTCCTCACCCTGTCGGTCCCAGGGTGGGCAAAGGGCATTGAGAGAGGTTCAGAGGCAGACAGTTGTGCCCAGGAAGATGGGGGCAGCGCTGGTTCATCTCTCAAGGACATGCTCCCTGGGGAGCTTCCTGCTCACCCAGGAAGCCTGAGGCAACCTGTGAAGCAGCCGAGCACCCAACAGCATTGCTTTTGCCCTCCAGGGGAGCATTGCTTTTTGCCCTGTAAGACTTTGATTGGCTGGAGAGAGAGAGAGTTTGGACATCTGGACCTAGGGCAGGGACCAAGGGGCACAGGTGCAGAACTTGACTGCTACCTAAGAAGAGGCGGGCCCATGCCCTGCCCTGCCCTTCTCCAGAGTTTCCTGGAGAACTAGAGAAAGAGCTGGATGCCATCTGAGGCCTCGAAGCCCAGATCCAGACCCAAGTGCCCAAGCACGCCTTCAATCAGGCTTGCACCGCTGCATCTATAAACTCAGGCTTTGCCTTGACACCAGAGTTCCTCAGCCTGATTTATGGATAGACTTCTGGAGGTCCATGATGACCTGCCCCCTCAATAAAACGTTTTCACAGTATTCTTCCCAGAAGAGGATTAAGGTTAGGCACTCTTCTGGAAAGAAAACCCGTAGTTTTCATTAGGTTCCCAAGGTTCACTGTCCAGAAAAGAGGTTCAAACCATAGTTCTGGAAGTCTTCTCAGAGCGTCCTCCCTTCCCCAACCACAACCTTGAGCTCAGAGTTAGAGACACTACTGGAAGGGACAGGTGAAGGCAGCCATGAGCTCCCGTGCCTTGAAGGGCAGGTGGAGGGAAGTGTTTTTTACCTTCTGCCCGCTTTTCTTCCGAACACCCACCATTGCTGACGGCCCACCCACTCTTCCAAAAGTCCCAGATGAAAAGGACCTGTGAGCCTGCAGGTTAGTCTCCAGGATAAGGAAGTGTCTCCCAGAGATGCTGCTCTTGAGAGGAAAATGACATGTTGACTTCCTAGGGAAAGGAAGGGCAGCCAAGTGGTTCCCAGCCCCTGCCTAGTGCCCTGGGGTGCTCTGCTAAGCACTTGGCTGCCTTAACATTTCATAGTAGCCTGATGAGGACCTGTTACTACCACCCCGGTTATAGACGTGAAAACTGAGGCTCGGGAGTGTCTTCTCACAGTGCATAGCTGGTGCAGATCCCAGTGGGGCCTCAGCCGGGAAGTCCCTGTTCCCATCCTGTGACCCAGGACTGATGCCAAGGGTGCTCTTTTAAGCAATTAAGAAAATATATAAGTAAAGGGTTTTGCTAGAGAGAGGAGGAGGCCAGTGGGTGGGCAGGGGAGGCTTCATGCTGGCTGGCAAGCAGGCTGTGTGTCGTGGTGGCTCCAGAGCAGGATCAGCCACGTCCTGGTTTAGCACCAGACCACAGAATTAGCATTCAGCACACCTGCTTGGCTTGGCTTCTTCTCAGAGAGACTCCTTTTGAACTCGTTCTTGTCTCCTGTCACCTGGGACAGGTGCAGTCTCGGGGGCTTTGTACTCTGCATGCACTGCCACACGGATGGGTTTTCACCTGGTGCTGGCCCCACCCTCCGCCAGTTCTGCATACTAATACTGCAGCATCCCTTTCTCCTGACCCTGGTGACATCTGATTGGCTGCTGTCGCTTTCCGAGGCCTGCTCACTAGATCCCTAGTAGCCCACCCTGTGCTTGGTTGGATTCCTGTCCCCTAGTTGATTAGAGCAGAATCTCCAAATTGGCAAGAGATTGGCCACACCTTCCTGGAATGGCAGCCACAACAGGTGTTCCCAGGAGCCAGACTGCTGGGACTATGGGGTTGGTTTTTTGACAAGCCACAGTCATCTAGGCAGGCCTATCTGAACCTGACTGGCTCTGGGCTTCGATGAGTCTATTCCTCTGACTTCCAGAGTGTTTCTTGGATAGTCACCTCTGGCTGTTGAGTGGGGGAAGCTGTGGTCCTGGTTGGCCTGCTGGTGACTGGCAGCAAGGCCAGCTCCCCATGCAGCCCTAACCCCTCTACCCTCAGCACAGCACATAGTGTCCTGGGAACCCTGGAACTGCAGGGTGCAGGCCCCGTTTTCTCTGCTGACCAATTAAGGTGCTTGCTGTCCCACCTCCAGTGCTTCCAGGGCACCAAGTAATAACTTTCCGCCTCGCCCAGTAGATCAAGGCAGCCGGTGCCTGAGCCTGTGGGCTTACAGGATCTCCCCAGGCCCCCATGCAGTGCAACTGTAGCAAGTGCCTTTCCTCTTCTCCACCATGACTCCTCTGTCTGGATCCCCACAATACCACAGCATGTGATTTGCATGGGGTTCAAGTCCAGCAGCTCCTCACTGCTTTCCTGGGGCTTTCTAGGCCCCAGTGTTGGGCAGAGGAGTCCTCATCCGGGAAATGGCGGCACTGAAGCCTGTTGGTGAGCCTTGAATCTCACCAAGATCCCACCACAATGGCTCAAGTGTGGTGGACGCCTGGCCTGCACTTACCAAGCTTTCCCTGGGTGCCCGGGAACTCCAGCAGCTTCCTTAGCTTCCTGCTCTCACAATGCCGTGGCCTCTCCTGCTCCCCTACCCCAGCGCCTGCCTCTGCTGCCGGTTCTGGCAGGCTGGCACGGCACAGGCTTCTTTCCTGAGGAGGACACTTTGTGTCTAAGCACAGGGAGGAAGGGGAGCTGAGGAAGACACTTTGTGTCTAAGCACAGGGAGGCAGCAGAGCCCGGGGCCCTCAGAGTCCAGCCCTGGGCCCTCCTCTCTGAGGTGAAGACATCTTAGGCGGCTGGTTTTCCCTCGCCCTCCCTGAGAAGCACCTGGCCTCTTGGGGGAGGTGGGGTCTCAGGAATTGATCTAGTTTCCTCTTTTCCTTGTGGAGATAATTAGGCTTCCAGGCTTGGAAGCCCTTCACCCACTTCCTCTGGGTTCTTATCCTCTTGTCCAGAGCACTAGTGACACCCTCCCCGCCAGGTAACTTAGGTGTCCCTAGGAGAACAGGCCCGGCACCGTGAGCTGAGCCTCAGCGGGCATGTCCCCCACCTCTGACCCCACCAGGGTGACTTCTTGCAGCTGGAGGACAATCATGGTCTCTCTCCCTCTTCAGTGATTATGTTGGGTTTTTGCTTCTTTAATTCTTTGAATAATTTTGGTTCACCATTATTTGATTTGAAAAAGCAGTGCTTTTCCGTGTATTCATTTCCCAGCCTTGTTTTCTTTCAGGTCTTGCCTCTGCGCTCTCCTGCTGTGCCGCTGGGTGGCGCTGCGCCTCCTCCACCCGCTTCGCCCCCATCTCAGCTCCGTCTCCAGCCGTAGACAGCCTGAGGAGGCCGCCAGCCCTCTCACATGAAATCAGCCTGCTTTGTTTTTGTTTTAATTTGGTCTTTGATTCCTTTTACTGTTGGCAGAAACAATGTTAATTCCTGGGCCTCTTTCTTGCTAAATTTTGGGGTGGGGGCTTCACTGTGATCATGAGGGATGCAATGAGAATGGAGGCCGCCCTCTGAGGTGGTGGTTGCCTTTTGATCATGTCTGTGGCTCAGGAGAGGCTGCTGGGTGCCAAGCTGTGTGAATGCCGAGTGGGTCAACACCACAGAGCCTGCGGGGCCTCCAGCGCGGGGCAGAGGGCAGGGGCAAGCGCAGGCCTGGTGGGAGGGAGGGCCGTGGAGGGGCGCAGGCGGAGCTCGGGTTGGCTGAGCACATGTCTAGACAACCTCGGTGCTGTGCAAGCCTGAGCGAAATCAGGCCCAGGCCAGGCTGGGCATGGGAGGAGTCAGCTCACTGCCACCTCACAACTCACCTCACTGCCACCTCAGGGCCTCGTGTCTTCTCTTGCAGGAGGTCTCAGGTGATTGAAAAGTTTGAGGCCTTGGACATTGAGAAGGCAGAGCACATGGAGACCAATGCAGTGGGGCCCTCGCCATCCAGCGACACACGCCAGGGCCGCAGCGAGAAGAGGGCGTTCCCTAGGAAGCGGGTGAGTTCCTGGGGCCAGGCAGCACCTCAGGGGTGGCTTGGGGGCGGATCAGCATGCACCCCATGCGCCGAGTGCCCTCCACACAGGCCTGGGTTGTGCTCCTGCCAGGCTTCTGCTCTCCGACTGCCTCCTCTGCATAGTGACCTTCTCGAGGGCAGGCCTGTCTCCTGCAGCTTCATATCAGAGCCTTCTCCGTCTCTGCTGAAGGATATTCTCACACATTTTAGATCCCAGATTTAATTAGGATCACTCTCTTCCTCTCTGAGGCAGCCCAGCAACAAGGCTGAATGTCATACCTTCCTAACTCTTTCTTTCAGTACAGCTGCACCCTTCGTTTCTCCACTCAGCCCAAGGTAGACTCGGCTTCTGAAATCCTCCTGGGCACCCGCCTGCTGCTTTTGTAGCCGGCCAAGTCCAAGCTCATCTTCTCCTGGCTTCTCTCTTGTTCACAAGGTGCCTAGTGCCCACTGCCTGGCCCATGGCTTGCCACCTGCTGCCACAGAGCCCAGGGCTCTTCCTTTTGTGGCTCAGAGAAGCTAGGGGATGGGGTGGGGCCAGGAAAGTGACAGTGACTGGGAATCCAAAAGAAAAGGCTGCTCAATCAACGAGGACATCTCAGGACCCGGGTCCTGTCCTGGTCCTGCCGCAGACTTGCTGTGGGGGCTAGGCAGATCACTGCCCCTCGCCAGGAGCAAGGCCCTGGCGGCTCTTGGAGGGGTGGACGGCACCAGCTCGTCCCTCACCTGCCCGTGTTGCCCTGGGCTGCGCTGACTGGCGGCTGCTCTCTGCCACAGGACTTCACCAATGAAGCCCCCCCAGCTCCTCTCCCAGACGCCTCGGCTTCCCCCCTGTCTCCACACCGAAGAGCCAAGTCACTGGACAGGAGGTCCACGGAGCCCTCCGTGACGGTGAGCCCAGGCGCCGTGTCCTCCGGAGGCCGTGCTCCTCTGCTTCTGTCACTCTGAGGCACTGTCTGTTTCTGTCTATGCGTCCACGCCAGCTGTCCCTCTGTGCACAGGCCCTCGTGTCCGTGAGCACCCCCACCCACCAACCCACAGGCCGTCGAACGCAAATTCTGTGTTTCTTCCCTTTTCTGGTCCCAGCAGAACCAAGAGCTCCATGGCATCCTGAGCTCTGGGAGGAGGCCCTGCGGAGGAGGCCACCTTGGCCAGGCAGACTCCCGACTCTAGGAGGCAGGGCTGCAGTGGGGACCCTCTGCTCCTCTGGCGTTGGGCATTGCTTTCTGTGGCACTTGGGAGGCAGAGGCTACGTCTTGCTGGAGCTTGTCTCATTCTTTGCGTCATGCCTCAAGTGGAAGAGCAGACCTTGCACCGGGTCCTCCATGGGCCTCAGAGCTGTGACAGCAGAGGTGTGGAAGGAGTGGTCAGGGTACAGGAGCAAGGCCAGCTCAGCATGCTGACCCAGCTCTTCCCCGTTCGGTCTTCAGCCTCCAGGGGAGCCTGGGGCCTGCTCACTGCCTCTTGTCTCCTTGCTGCCTGCCCCAGGGCTTGGGGGCTCCCAACCACAGATTGATGTGTAATATGGAGTGTGAAGAGGAGTAGGGTTTGGGTTTCTCCTTCAGTCTGGGTTTTGCTTCAGGTGTCTCAAACAAAACCCGTTATTTCTCTGTTAACTTATCTGGGAGTTCCTGTCCCCAGCAGAAAGCACCACCAGGGAACCCACCTGCCTAGGCCTTGCCATCGGGGTCAGATTGCAGGCTTGACTTCAATGGCACAACCATGATATGGAAGTTACAAGTTTTTGTTAAAGATCCGCAAGCTAGGCCAAGTGCGGTGGCTCACGCCTGTAATCCCAGTACTTTGGGAGGCCAGGGCGGTCAGATCACAAGGTCAGGAGATCGAGACCATCCTGGCCAATGTGGTGTAACCCTGTCTCTACTAAAAATACAAAAATTAACTGGGCATGGTGTCGTGCGCCTGTAGTCCCAGCTATTCGAGAGGCTGAGGCAGGAGAATCGCTTGAACCTGGGAGGCGGAGGTTGCAGTGAGCCGAGATCACGCCACTGCACTCCAGCCTGGCAACAGAGCCAGGCTCCATCTCAAAAAAAAAGAAAGATCTTCAAGTTAAGCAGGCTGTCAGAGAGGGGCAAGTGGCAGTCCCACGTCTCAGGTCTTGTGCCACAGTGGCAACTACAAACATGCAGGAGAGGACCTCCCTATTTAAGGGTCACTTGGGGTAGGGTGTCCTAATTTCATAGTGTTGCTTTTGATTGGGTGCCTCAACTGACTCTGGCGGCAATGACAGTTGCACAGCTTGGCAGGACGTTGGGGTTGAAACAGGGCTCTGTAGAGGGACTTCTTATCTATCTGGGTCAGCCTTAGCCAGACCTAGGCAGCAGCCAACTGTGGTTCCTCCCTCACTCCGCAGAGACAGGGTTCTGAGCAGAGGCTCCCAGAATGCTTTGTCCTGGTAGCTGTTGTGACAATTCTTGCCTATTCTCACTGTCACTCCTTGGAATAATACAAAAAGACACCAAAGCTGGTTTCTGCTCAGATGGCTGTAGAAAAGACAGCACCTGGGACCAGAGGTGGAGTGACCCATGTCTCTGTGGGGCCAGCCAGGTGGGCTGTAGGTGGCAGTGCTCTCTCAGTCTGTTCTTCAGGGCCCAGGTGTGTCTGGGTGGCACAGGTGGAGGAAGGACAGAGCCCTTTGCCTGGGCGCTGTCCCCCTGTCTGCCATCCTGCTTGTTGTGGGGAATACAGGTCAAGCCTGTTCCTGGTGGAGAAATGGCCTGAGGGTCTCAGCGGGGCTGCAGCTGCTGCTTCCTCAACACCGCACGTCTCTGTTTCCCAGGCTTCCTGTGGCTTCTGCAAGAACTTTTGAATCAATTCTCCTTTCAGCCTTCCCTGCAGATGTTTCCCTTCAAATAAAATGTTCTGTAACTCTTCATCTGGGCTTGTTTTCTGCCCCCCAGATAGGCCCTGTGCAGTGGGCCCTGTACAGGCCGGAGCCCACACCGCTCACAGGGCAATGAGACCATACCTTCTCTCCTGCCAGCCTGCCAAGCCCAGCATCTCCTTCCTCAAGGTCGCGCGCACCTACAGAAGGCGGGTTGCGGGCAGCACCCACCAGGGTGAGGGGGCTGCACAGGCTTGTCTGGCAGGTGGAGAAACCCCTTTCCTGGTACCTGCCTCATCTGGACAGAAATACTGGCCCCATCAGACACTCATGACACTAGAGGAGTTTCCTCTGAGCTGTTCTTTTTTCTCCCTTTCTCAGCCCGACCTGCTGAATTTCAAGAAAGGCTGGCTGACTAAGCAGTATGAGGATGGCCAGGTGAGTGTACAGGGTTGCCATGGCCCCTGAGGGGTCTGGGGGCAGGGTGAGGGTGAGCTGGCCTTGTCCCCAGCCAGTCCGCGAGTGCTGGCTCCATGCCTTCCTCCTCCATGCTCCTTGTCTCACGGACCGGGGCTGTGGCTGAGACTTCCATCTGCTCCTAGAAGTGCAGGCACGCAGCCTTCATTTCTGCAGTCGGAGGTGCTCTGGAGGGGCGCTTGGTAGGCCTGTCTGCTGATGGCAAGGGAATCTTGGCCTCAGGCCCTAGGGATGCCTTGTAACACTAGCCCCTACCTGGTAATCTTTCCTAAAAGTTCTTCAGAGGCCTGGCTTCCCCAGGGGCAAAGAAAGTCTCTGGCTGTGAGATTGGCTTGTGTTTCCATGCAAGCCAGCCAATTAGACAGTAGCCTAGCACTGCAGGACTCTCATGCCCGAGACCCTTCAGCTGCAGTGGCAGTGTTAGCCCTGGAAGGAGCAAACATGGTACATTCTTGCCATCAGACTCAAGCAGGAAGAGCCATCTGAGGCTGGACCTGCCAGCCCACCTTGACCCTGTGCCATGAGCTGGAAGGCCAGGCCTCCCAAGGAGGCATGAAGTCTGCTGGGTCCTTACCTAAGAGGCCCTGATGCCCAGCCCATCCGCACTCCCTTCCTGCTTCCTGAGCTGCTATCCCAAGACATTCTCTTTCTCTCTCCTCCATATCAAATGCCCTTGGCCTGGCATGAAGACTCAAAGTTCCCCTCCTTACTGCTCACAGTGAAGACTTGGTCTCTAGCTGGTTAGTTACCCCTGCTGGTTAGGGGGCCACATGGCCTTGGCTTGTGGGTTGCCACCTGCAGGTGGAGATGCCATTTCACAGCCACCTTTCTGTTCTGATGGGCCCAGTCTGTTGTCTGCAGCCTCTGTAGTTATGGAGGACCTCACGGCCTGGCCACCAGCCACACTACTGGTCGTAGAGCCCACAGCCAAGGCCTGCTCAGCTATCTGTGCTGCCTCTTCACTGGAGGGTCGCAGCTTAGTGAGCGTCTTGAGGGAGTGAGCGCATGGCTGCCTGCAGTCCCAGCGGAGTCCTCTATGTGCTGTCAAGGAGGCGCCAGCCTGTCCCCTGCTTTCCCTATGCTCTGGGTGGGTCCCACAGGCTCTGGCTGCGCATCGCCATGGAGTGGCAAGTGTGCTGTTATAGGAGTTGGTAATTGAGTCATTTTTCTTTTCTTCCCCCTTAGTGGAAGAAACACTGGTTTGTCCTGGCCGATCAAAGCCTGAGATACTACAGGGATTCGGTGGCTGAGGAGGTGAGTGTCTGGGCTTTGCCTCTGCTGTGGAGACAGCTGGAGGGGGGTCCAGGCGGCATCTGGGGCTAGTAGATCTGCTTCCCCTCGGGCTAATGTCCCCACTTCTAAGGACGACGCCCTTCGGTGGTGTTCCCTTGCCGTAGGTGTATCCATGTTGCCCTCTTGGGTTTCCCAGTCCTGACCTGGTGGGAAGGTGAGCACAAGACCAGCCTTTGTCCTTGTGATCATTTTTCTGGCTGTGATGCCGGGCTTCGTCAAGGCCCTGAATTAAGCGCCCAGTGAGTGGATTCAGGCAGCTTTTGTTTTCTCTGTTCTTTGAAAAACACTGAAATTTGAAAACTCAGGATGAAAACTTTTGTTTTTTCCATGAAGAGATTTCATGGTAAATGGAGTTGGAAGAATTGAACTACGTCTTGTGCCCTGCCTTCTGGACAAAGACAGGATATGATAGATGAGCTTTGTTGGGCCCCTTGACAGTCCTGATTCTGTGGTCAAAGACCAACTAGAAGAGGCTTCACCTACAAATAAAAATAACCTCTTCTAAACAGTTTGGCAAGTCTCTTTCGCCTTTTCCGCAGTAGTTCCACTCCAGGAATCCCTCAGATATACTCACACATGTGGAAAAACGTCTGTGTTTCAGATTAGTCATTCCCACACGTTTGTAATAGCCAGATGATTGGAAAGAGCCTAAATACCCATCATTAAGGGCTAGAGTATGTATTAAATACTCTGAGCCAATCTTTACAGACTGAAGGGGAAAAGGCGGTAGTGATAAGAAGTAGGGGTAGGAGAGTGTGGGCGGTGGGCCTCTGGTGGTGTCCAGCGTTGGGGAAGTAAGGAGCCTGTGTAAGTGTTTGGTTGTGTGTGCATAGAAGAGCACTTCCGAGTGTGATCTGTAGACCTCTGGGGGTCCCTGAGGCCCTTTCAGGAGAGCAGTGATGGTTAAAATAATTTATAATATTAAGATAACATTGACTTTTTTTTTGCATGTGGCCATCTGCACTGATGGTGCAAAAGCAACGGGAGGTAAAGCCACTAGTACTTGGCACAGCCCCAGCTGCAACAACAGGCTGGACCAGTGGCCACTGGATTCTTCACTGCCATACATTTTAAATAAATAATGGTTTTAAAATAAATAAAGGTCCTTGAAGGAGCAGCAGAAGTTACTCATTTTATGAAGCCGCAATCTTTAAATGCCCATCTTTTTAATATTCTGTGATTTGAAATGGAAAGTAAGCATCACCTGGCTGCATACCAGAGTATGCAGGCTTTCTCGTGGAAAGGACTCGTGATTGTTTGAGTTGCCAGCTGAACTAGCAGCTTCTTTGTGGAGCACCATGTTTACTTGAAAAACAACTAGTAGGCAAAACTGTAGTCATTCATTTTGTGTGTTTGGCATATATTTTCATGAAAATGAACCAAGTTAGCTCATTCCTCTAAGGAAAACAACTGACAGAGTTTGTTGCTGGTGATATAATTTGAGCTTCTAACCGAAAATTAGAACTTGGGAAAGTTTGTATTCACCATCGTGAACTTCCGTTTACTTACACTCTCCTGATGCAATAGGTGGTGGTATTAGCAAAGGCGATATTTTGATCTTGCATAATGAAATGTGTAGACAATTGGAAGCTATGCATAACTTAATATTTTCCATGTGACCAATACCACATGTTACAAAAGCATGCATGGGTTTTAATGTAACACAGAACAGAGAGTTCATTGGCATGAACTCAGATACCACATTGCAGTTAACCTTTAAGAGCCTACTAGTCAAAGAACAGCCACAACTACTTGAAAAAGCTATTAAAATACTTCCTTTATTGTCTGGTGAAGGGCATTTAAAGATTGAGGCTTCATAAAATTAGTAACTTCTGCTGCTGCTTCACCTTCTTACAGTGGCTCACGCCTGTAATCCCAGCACTTTGGAGGCCGAGGCAGGCGGATCACCTGAGATCAGGTGTTTGAGACCAGCCTAGCCAACATGGTGAAACCCTGTCTCTACTAAAAATACAAAAATTAGCCAGGCGTGGTGGTGGTCATCTGTAGTCCCAGCTACTTGGGAGACTGAGGCAAGAGAATCACTTGAACCCAGGAGGCAGAGGTTTCAGTGAGCCGAAATCATGTCACTGCACTTCAGCCTGAGTGACAGAGCAAGACCCCATCTCAAAAAAGAAAAAACCTTCCTGTATTGAACAGATGGAATGAAGAAATAAGAATCCAGCTGTCCTTTCTGAAGACAGATGTTAGATTTGCAAAAGTTCAAAGCCGTGTGACTCTTATCACTGATTAATCAAATTTTTACTTTAAAATGAGTTTATTTTATTCTCAAATGAACAAATATATTTGAATTTTTCATTTCTATTAGTATATTTTTTCATACGTATTTAAATACATATTTTATATATTTAAATACATTAAATATATACATTTGAGTCTAGGATTTCGAGGCTGCCGTGAGCCATGAGTGTGCCACTACACTCCAGCCTGGACAGCAGAGTGAGACCCTGTCTTGGGGGAAAAAAAAAAGAAATGGGGGCAGATGTAGCAGTCCAGAGGATATAAAAAATACATTAAAATACATTAAATACATTAAATATATAAAATATGCATAGTAAAAAAAAATAAGAATAGTAAAACATTTACATTTTAATTTCTAACATGGTAAATACCATCAATAGATGAAATCCACGTAACAGAAACTCTTCTAGGGTTCCTAGTTTTTAAGAGTGTGAAAGGATTTCAACAGCAGCATGTTTGAGGACCACTGGTGTGGACTATCTTTGGCTGGATGCAGGGACAAATGGTGGTGTGGTTGCACCCAAGGAGGGACCTGGGTCATACAGTAGTAGGATAGACAGTATCCTCACTTGTCAATGTGTATACTGTTAAAAATAAAGTCAGTGTAGGAAATCACTTACGGAAATTTGCTCACCTAGGCGTTGATTCTGCTTCCTAAAAATCTCAAGACATTCTCATTTCTCTCTGCAGGCAGCCGACTTGGATGGGGAAATTGACTTGTCTACATGTTACGATGTCACGGAGTATCCAGTTCAGAGAAACTATGGCTTCCAGATCCATGTGAGCCCAGGGATGGAAGTGGGGCCACAGGCTTGACAGGCAGGGACACGTGTCAGAGTGCCTGATATCTGGGCTGGGGGCATTTCTGGACAGGCCTGATGCAGTGTGTGTGGTCAGTGTTTCCCACTACCCTTGACACCTCTGTCCTGTGGCACCTGACCCTCTCCCCCAATTCGTGATCTGAACAGTACATTAGATGTTAGTATCTTTTTTCTGAAGACTGCTTAAAGATTTTTTGTTTCTGAAGGTTCTTTTTTTCTTTTTTTTGTAATGCTAGAGTTGGGGCAGTTGGAAGGATGTAGGGTATGGGGAATAAGAATGAAAGTGTCAGTCAATTATTTACATCGGTTTTTTACTCACTTATTCATGTGGTTGTTCATTCATTTACTTACAAGGCTATTTTTTCCCAAAATCTTGTGAGGTACTCAGATGAACAAGGCATTGCCCTGTTCTCAAAAAAAGAAAAAAAATCTTATTGGTAGGACAAAATGGTTCTCATTGGCTGTTTCTTCAAAACTATGTGGATTAAGGGCTGCCTGCAGTCAGCCAGACTCCAGGTTAAGGGCACAATCCTCCGGACTGCCACATCTGCCCCCATTTCTTTTTTTTTCCCCCCAAGACAGGGTCTCACTCTGCTGTCCAGGCTGGAGTATAGTGGCACACTCATGGCTCACTGCAGCCTCGAAATCCTAGACTCAAACGATCCTCCTACCTCAGCCTCCAGAGTAACTGGGACTACAGGTGCATGCCACCATGCCCAGCTAATTTTTATTATTATTATTTGTTTTTTGGAGAGACAGGGTTTCACCATGTTGCCCAGGCTGGTTTTGAACCACTGGGCTCCAGCGATCCACTTGCGTTGGCTTCTCAAAGTGCTGGGATTATAGGCATGAATCACTATGCCCAGTCCTGCCCCCACTTCTGACACCAGTTGTGAGTCTGGAGGTTTCCAGAACCACCTTCAGTTTCGAAAATTCACTAGAATGACTCACAGAATTCAGGAAAATAGTATCTTTACAATGAGTTTTATTGTAGAAAAAGTCTACAAGTCAGAACCAGCCAAAGGAGAGCCATGTGGAGTAGAATCTGGGACTGGGGGAGTCGCAGATGCCAAAAGTTTCTGCATCCTTGGGGACACGGTGTCCTCTTAGCCCTGATGTGGGGCAGCATGCAGAGCATTGCCAGGAAGCCCACCTGAGCCCTGGTGTTGAGCTTTAGGAGGCTCTGTAGCTGCTGTGGTTGATGGAGTTATTGTCCTCATGGTTGAACTCCACCTAAAGCCCTTCCCGCCATGGTCGGCTACTTTCACATGGCCCAAACCCCAACCTTCTGATTTAATGGGTTTCCTGTGATTTCCTGCTTCTGTCCAGGCCAGTCTCCACCCTGAGTTGTCTTGTCAGCATGAAGTGTTAGGTGGGGTCCCAGGGGACCACCATGAGTAATAAAGACTCTAGTCATCTAGGAAATTCCAAGGTTTGGAAGTTCCCTCCCAGGAGCCAGGACAGAAGCCAGGCCTCTCTTTGGGTAAAGTTAGTTCGTCACTTGCAAGAGCTTTAAAATGGGTGGAGAGTGTGATGAGTAGAGAGCTGCCCCCGTGGGGCTGGACCCTGGCACTGGGACTTGGTTTCTCACAGAAGGCTAGACTCTGGTGGGCTCACCTGTAGCAGGGTCATACCTTCACATTTTGGGGCCCAGAAACTCAATTGTATTGCTGTTTTGAGAGTTGATCCAGTATTTGGGGCTGACTCAGATTGACCCAACTTAGGAGAGACTGAAGTATAGACCCAAAGGCCAGTGTGTTCACTTACTAAGAAAATCCTGGCTGCCAGCCCACTGGGCTGCTGGCTGTGGCTTCCTGCATGCCGGCATCTGCAAAAGGAGCTGAGTCACAGTTGGAGGCTGCACTGACAGCCTGGCACCAGGGCTAGGTGTGAGTTGCCTGCTCTTAGTGGCCTGCACTGCCCAAGTTTCGAGGCTCCTCTGTCCTCAGCCCCTGTGGGAGGGGTAGTCAGGCATAGTGCCTGGTGAGCCTCCTCTCCTGCCATCCACCTCACATCTTCATGAGCAGCTTCCTCCAGGCAGGGCACACCTGAAGTCTGAGAACTCACCCCACTCTCCTAGTGACAAATGAGGGCACCAACCAATCTCACCCACTGATCAACCCCTCCTCACTTCACCCTGGTAGGGCTTACCCTGATGACTTTCTGTGAACCCCAACTACTGAGAGTTCTAAGGAATGAGGAGGTCCTTCCAGTGTGGAGAAGGCTTCCTGGGGGAGGCTTCCTGGAGGAGAATCCCTCGAGGCTCAGCAGGAGGGCTGAGTGTGAAAACATGTCCCAGACTGTACTCCAGACCTGGTGGCACAGAGAGCACAGAGCCAGTCTGCAGCTAGAGTGCTGGGTGGAGGGTCAGGTTGGCACTGGTCCAGTTTTTGTGGAGAGCACTGAAGGGTGTTAGAAGATGCCAGACAGTTGTGCGTTCATGATACATGTCTGGCAGAATATGCAGGTCCATTAGAAAGGAGCCAAACAGGCTGGCACAGTAAGGTTGGGCAAGAAAGGTAAGAGCAGCACCCGGGAGTAAGAGTTGAGGGCAGGGCCAGGACCCAGAGCATGGCAAGGCCCCGCCCGCTTAGAAGCCAGCAGAAGAGCTGATGTCACAAAAGCAGGGGGATCCCCTGGAATTCCGGCTGTGATCCATTTGAGGCATGATGGGCTCTCAGAGAACATTAGGTAGCTGCTGGGTAAGAAAATTCAGCTGGAGAAAACGGCTCTATGTGGAGCACTGAAGCCAAACTCCAGCAACGCCCTCACATGGGGGTGCAGAAGGTGGGGCCCCCAACTCAGCTCATGTGGACGTGAGAACTGATGAAGGAGGACCGAGCTGAGCAGTGGCGGTGTCTTGATCAGGCATGTGGAGGGGCAGGTCAGGTCCCTCCCAGGTGTGCTTTGTGACACATCAGGCTGGCGTGTGATCTCCTGTTTTGACTTCTGGCCAGGCCACTAGTGCCCATCTGAAAACCATCCTCATGATTGCATCCTGCTGTCAGCTTCACTACTGACCTGGCTGCTGAGTCTGCTTGTGAGCAGCTCTCAGTTCAGGACTGCAGTCCTCGCTTCTATTGGGCAGGTGCCTGTAAGTGCAGAAGCAGGCCTCCAGCTCCATGCAGGCCACTGGCCCTCCCCTTTCTGAAGGTACCCAGGCAGATCTGCTCAGGGGCGCAGCAGTCATGTCCCAGAGCCATGTGCTCTTTGCTTCTTTGTCCTGCCTGCTGCCCCGTTCCCCACCCAAAACAGGCTCCTCTGCTGCCTTGGACAAGCACCTAGGACAAGCCCTAGACTCCACCTCATCCAAGCAGGAGTCTAGGGCTTGTCCTAGGTGCTCCCCAACCCAGCCAACCAGACACTGTCCATACCCCTTTTGTTACTTCTGAGCTGCCCTATCCCCTGCCATCACCTTAATTCTCATCACTTGGACAGCTGCAGTAACCACCCAGCAGGTATCCCTGCCTTTTCTCAGTGTCACTAACAAGACCCTGATACCCCTTGTTCTTAACCACTCCCCAGGCCCCATCATGCCATGTGCCTGTGTGGATTCAGACTGCAGGTGCCACTCCCCACACCCAAGAAGCACGCCCTTCGCCATTCCCCACCTCCACTGCTGCTCAGCACTTGCTGATTCTGCCCTTCCCCCAAGGCTGGGAACTCCTTAAAGAGGGGTGCAGTGGCTGGGCACGGTGGCTCACGCCTGTAATCCCAGCACTTTGGGAGGCCGAGGCGGGTGGATCACCAGGTCAGGAGATCGAGACCATCGTGGCTCCACTAAAAATTACAAAAAATTAGCTAAGCGTGGTGGTGGGCACCTGTAGTCCCAGTACTTGGGAGGCTGAGGCAGGAGAATGGCGTGAACCCAGGAGGCGGAGCTTGCAGTGAGCTGAGATCGCGCCACTACACTCTAGCCTGGGCGACAGAGCAAGACTCTGTCTCCAAAAAAAAAAAAAGAGGAGAGAGAGGGGTGCAGCATCCTCCTCTATCTGAATGGGCAGACTGCTGGTGCGTAGTGGGTGCTCGGTAACTGTGAGCTGACCTTACTGAGAGAAGATACCGGATTTACCATTGCCACAGATGCACGTCCCTCCCACGGCTTTGCCGTCTCCTGCTCTCCAGCTCCCTCTTGTCCCAGTAGTGGGCACATGTGGCGCTCCTAGAAGGGTCACCCAGTCACAGGCTTTCTCCCTGTGGGACTTTGTACCCAGTGCAAGAAGCTTCTTTGGAGATGGAGGGCAGCAGGTACCCTAGGGGATAGTCACTGATGGTGCCTCATCTTTTCTCTGTAGACAAAGGAGGGCGAGTTTACCCTATCGGCCATGACGTCCGGGATTCGGCGGAACTGGATCCAGACCATCATGAAACACGTGCACCCGACCACTGCCCCGGACGTGACGAGGTAGGATGGTGAAGATGCCAGGGAGCCCCTTGTGCATCCTGTGGGTGCCACTCTCTCCAGGGCAGTATCAGACTCGATCTGAAGTCTGAGACCTGAGCTCAGTGCATCCCAGTCTGCTGCTCCTTCCTTCCTGTGTCCTTCTGTTGCTCAAGTTCCTGTCCCAAGCACATCAGAACAAACATTTCCGGTTCTTTTCCTCTTTTAAGCCCAGGCGTTTTCATCTTGCGGGTAGTGTGTATGCTGGTCATTAGAACTGGGCTTTGGTGGAGAGTCTTCCATCTGTGTCAGCAGGCACCTGGCCAGACCAGCCTGAGCCCCACAGTCGGTGCTCTCAGGCCTTGAGCTCTGCTGGCATGAGGATGGCCCTGTGTGCAGCATCCATAGGCCACCCAGCACTTCTTTGCCTTGGCCACCTTCTCACCTCGCTCCTACGTCTATTTGATTTCTGTGCAGCCAAGTTGAAAAACTCTCTCCTGTGTTAGCATTCTGTGGTTCATGAGCCTCAGGTTTTGCTTTGGGCTTTCTTCCTCCTGCCCTGAAGGTTAAAGACCTAGCTCTCATTTTAAAAGAAAGTGGAGAATCAGAAGACTCAGATGTCTCCAAAAAAAAAAAAGCAGGGAAGATTCCAGAGTGGGGGCTGGTCCTTTGAGGGCCAGAACTCTGCTGTCCCCACCTCAAGGCTTCAGAGCCTCCATGCATCTGAGCACCTCTGGTGCCATTTCTCAGGTCATGTGATGTAGATTACATCTCAAATGTATTTCTTGTGCTGTGGGTTAGGCTGCTTGGGTATGGCAGTGTCACAGCAGGGGCTGTCCTTGGAAGCTTTGACCTAAAGGCATGTTTTTTTTTTTTTTGAGATGGTGTCTTGTTCTGTCACCCAGTCTGGAGTGCAGTAACGTGATCTCAGCTCACTGCAACCTCCACCTCCTGGGTTCAAGCAATTCTCCTGCCTCAGCCTCCCAAGTAGCTGGAATTACGGGCACCCACCACCATGCCCGGCTAAGTTTTGTGTTTTTAGTAGAGACGGAATTTCATCATGTTGGCCAGGCTGGTCTTGAACTTGTGACCTCGGGTGATCCACTCGCCTTGGCCTCCCAAAGTGCTGGAATTACAGGCATGAGCCACCGTGGCTGGCCTAAAGACACGTTCTGTATCCAGACCTTTGCCTTCTTCCTGCCGACTCCATACCTCTTTGCCTAATTGATTATTTTCTTTTTAGTCCTCTTTTCTGTGTCTGTCATTTGTTCATGACTTCATTTATTAAACAAACACTGTCTAGTAAGGCCAAGAGGCCGTGGCCAGGACAGGTTGCCCTCTGTCTCTCAGGATCCTGTTCAGAGAGCTGGCTTGTTGGTTAGGGACAAGTCCTCTGCATGCACAGCCAGTAGGAGGCACCCAGGGCTGCCGCAGGCTTTCCCCCGCCCTCCAGTGGCCACATCCTGTGGTGGCCTCAGCTACTGCCTCCATGGTTCTCCCATCAGGAGCAGACACCCAAGCTTGGCAAGCTAAGAACTCTTTTCCAAGCACCTTTAGGAAGCCCCCAGAGCAAAGTGAGAAAGGCCCCAGCTTCTTTGCCCAGGCTGTTGGCAGCAAATAGAGCTTATCACAGGGGTCCAGGACGGTGAGTGGTGGGCATGCATGTGGGTGGCTGGCCTGAGGTCCTCTGCTGCCCCTCTTTCCCGCCAGGCCTGGACTCAGTGCTGTAGATGGGCCATCCTGGCTGGAAGAAGTCAGCTTTGGGATGTCCCAGGGCAGGTGTCAGGAATGCACCTGTGCACATGCCTGTGCCTGCACACGGCTCAGGAGAGGTGCCTCCACACTTGAGTGCCTGCTTGCCTGTATGCAGGGGCTTTGGGCCCAGGGAAATGAATGAGGAGACAAGGGTTTTGCTCTCCTATGAAAGCTGACCTGGCAGTTGGCCTCCTAATAACTACTTCATAATCTAGCATATCTGTGTAGTCTGGTAGAGTGCTCACCCTCTACCAGTTTGTTTTCAGCGTTTCTTCTTCCTCTGTGTAGGCTTTTATTATTTGAGGAAAAATATGAGTTTTTTAGTGCTGCCAGGCAAAATCACAAGGAGGCATGAAAACAGAAACTGCAGTTTCAGAAGCTGCTGTCCTCATCCTGCTTTCGTCGCCTTCTTGAAATGTGGGAGTGGGGAAGTTGCAGGGCGCTTCCTGCCTTTAGTGCTGGAGGAGCCTTGTTGGGGAGGTTTCTTCTGGGGAGTGCGGCCAGTTCTGGTGTGGCTGTGACTTTGGCGGCTGTCAGGGCCTGGCTGGGGGCCTCCATGCACAACCTGCCTTGTGTGTCATCCTGACACTCTCCATGGCCAGAGATCTGCCCTGTGTCATTTTCCTCCAGATGTTAGCGTACTCTTACAGTGGACACCTGCAGATCCCCCTACTCTGAAGCACTTTGCCTCTCACCCGATTGCTGCCTGGACAGGTGACCCTTGCTCCAGGTGGTGATGGCAGCCATTTCCTCTTTTCGTTGGTTCTCTCTTTAAAGACTCCTTTCCTTTTAGACCTGATTGAAACACATGTGCTCCCTGGAGCTCCTCCTTGGGCCCTCACTGTTCCCAGGTGGGCTTGCAACTGGCTTCTGAGGGCCTGGGTGAGATTAAGGGCCGCTCAGTCAGCCTCGGACCAGCTGGCAGTCTCTAGGGCCTATCCCTAGAGTCTACAAACCTGTGTCTCAGACACTCCAAGCCTCCTTGACAAATTGCCATTGCAATGTCCCTGTTCCTCCGCTGCTGCAGACGAGGCCTCCCCAGGAATCTCTGCTTCTAGCAGATGGGGACTAGGCATGGTGGATTCCTTCGGCAGACCTGGCTTTGCCATGAGCACGACCTGTGCAGCTTATGTCCCGTTGCTGGCTGCTGCTTGCCTCCTCAAGGTGGCGGGTAACCAGCAGCTGGATTGGGCTTTTAAAACATAGATTTAGGCCGGGCACAGTGGCTCATGCTTGTAATCCCAACACTTTGGGAAGCCAAGGCGGGCGGATCGCCTGAGGTCGGGAGTTTGAGACCAGCCTGGCCAGCATGGAGAAACTCCGTTTCTACTAAAAATATAAAATTAGCCAGGCATGGTGGCACATGCCTGAAATCCCAGCTACTCGGGAGGCTGAGGCAGGAGAATCGCTTGAACCCAGGAGGCAGAGGTTGTGGTGAGCCTAGATCGTGCCATTGCACTCCAGCCTGGGCAACAAGAGTGAAACTCCATCTCAAAAAAAAAAAAAAAAAACTGATCATGTTACCTGCTTATTAAAAGGTAAGCCCTTCTAGAGAAGTGCTAGTTTTCCCTCATTTTGTTACCACTGTCTAGTCCAGGGATGCACAGAGGCAAGGCCTCACCAGGCGAGTACAGTGGCTGTGCCCAGGTGCAGCCTGATGCAGTTCTTGGCCCTGAGCAAGGTAGGGCTGGCCCGTCCTGCCTGTGAGGCTGTGGGAGTCCTGGGACTCCCTTGGTTCCATACCCTGGCAAAGGGGCCACCCCAGTGAGCCCCTGACAGCACCTCTTCAGGGATTAGGATAGAAAAGGATGTGGTGCCCACAGGGGCTGGGTTGTGGCTCAGCATTGCCAGCTTCTGCCTGGCAGGCCACACCAGAGTCGCCCCTGACAGTCTTATGTCCATCCTCCTGCTCCACAGCTCGTTGCCAGAGGAAAAAAACAAGAGCAGCTCCTCTTTTGAGACATGCCCGAGGCCTACTGAGAAGCAAGAGGCAGAGCCGGGGGAGCCGGACCCTGAGCAGAAGAGGAGCCGCGCACGGGAGCGGAGGCGAGAGGGCCGCTCCAAGACCTTTGACTGGGCTGAGTTCCGTCCCATCCAGCAGGCCCTGGCTCAGGAGCGGGTGGGTGGCTCAGGGCCCACTGACACCCATGAGCCCCTGCGCCCTGAGGTGGAGCCTGGGGAGCTGGAACGGGAGCGTGCACGGAGGCGGGAGGAGCGCCGCAAGCGCTTTGGGATGCTCGACGCCACAGACGGGCCAGGCACTGAGGATATAGCCCTGCGCATGGAGGTGGACCGGAGCCCAGGGCTGCCTGTGAGTGACCTCAAGACGCATAACGTCCATGTGGAGATCGAGCAGCGGTGGCATCAGGTGGAGACCACGCCTCTCCGGGAAGAGAAGCAGGTGCCCATCGCTCCCGTCCACCTGTCTTCTGAAGATGGGGGTGACCGGCTCTCCACACACGAGCTGACCTCTCTGCTGGAGAAGGAGGTAATAGCCTGGGGCCAGATCCTCCCCCTGCTCCCAGCAGCCTTTCCAGAGAATCAGCTGTAAGCTGTGGCCTTAGGGGTTCATCTACACAGTCCTAACCTCGAGGAACTTACAGACCCCTAGGGGAGACAGACGCACAGATGAGTCCTCATAGTTGAGGCAGACCTGAGAGCTGTGGGAGCGTGCCAGTGCGTGCAGGACAGGGAAGGGGGCCTTCCAGGCACGGTGGAACTCCTCCCATGGTGCGGGCCACTGCCATTGAGAGGCAGGCGGCATTGCAGGTCCCCAGTGGTTTCCTCGCTCTGACTCCCGATGGCAGGAGGGGCGTGAGCAAGGTGAGGCTTTTGCGTTAGGCAGCCCTGGCTTGGACAGGTCAAAGCTGGAGGCAGAGATCAACCCCAGGCACTCTTACAGTGGCTTGGGGATGGCTGATCAGATCTAAAGCCAGGGGCATCCAGCAGGAGATGACAGCTGGGTCCCAGGTCATGAGGATGTGAAGCAGAAGGCAGTGGTGAGGTGGGGTAGGCCATGGATGAAGGCTGCCCTGTGACTGTCACTCCTCCATGAGGCCCTCAGTGCACCTGGGTACAGAGATGAACAAGCCGGCCCCCAAACTATAAAATAAGATGTTATTTCATTGAAATGTATCCAGAAATGCAGTCTGCAGAACTACAGCGGTGGATTTACATGTCTGGACAGGGAGTCTCGTAACCAGGGACGTATAGCATTACGGTTTTTGTGGAACTCCCTGTTTCACTCTCAATTTAGGGACAGTTTTCAACACTGTGTTTCAAATATGTTCTCTTACGTAAGTAGTTTGTTAAAGATTTGCCACTTGGGTATGCCTTATGCTTCTGATCTTTTTTGTATTTTATTAACTGTATGAGGCTGAGTTATCACCAGCACTAATACTTGTACTTTTTCATTTTCCTCATCCATTAACAAATAACAAAGGCAAGATGAAATAAAGTAACAGTTGAAACTCACATTACTTCAAGCTACCAAAATGGACCAGCCAGCAGGTGACACACTGGTTCAACAATCTGAGGGGGTCAGTCTTCACTGTTTGAAAGTCAGGAGTCAGCTGGGCGTGGTGGCTCATGCCTGTAATCCTGGTACTTTGGGAGGCTGAGGTGGGTGAATCACGAGGTCAGGAGATCAAGACCATCCTGGCCAACATGGTGAAACCCTGTCTCTACTAAAAATACAAAAATTAAAGATATACAAAATATACAAAGATATACAAAAATTAGCTGGGCGTGGTGGCATGTGCCTGTAGTCCCAGCTACTTGGAAGGCTGAGGCAGGAGAATCACTTGAACCCAGGAGGCAGAGATTGCAGTGACCTGAGATTGTGCCATCGCACTCCAGCCTGGCGACAGAGCGAGAGTCCGTCTCAAAAAAATAAAGGAGGTCTCCCCGCCTGTCACAGCACAGCCTAGCAACAAACTGGGCGGCACTGGCGTAACTGCCCACTACACACATAGCTCCACTCAGCACGAGCTCTGGAAGCAGGATGGGTAGCCCTGCACACAGCCAGGCATCAGGAGGCACCTGGGAGGTGTGTGGGGAAGAGGTGGACGGATGAATGAGTAGCTGAAGCTGTTGAAAGCAAGAAGAGTATAAAATAGCTTACTCATGGGTGTCCACACCTTGTTTGAGAGAACTGCGGGAACCGTTTTTGCAAATAGAACTTTGTGGAATCCATCATGTAAAACTGGTCAAATGGAGTGGTTTCTGTTGAGACTATTGTGGGCCCTGGAGTGAGGCCTGCTTGAGGCCACCACTCGCAGTGGTCCATGTAGAGCCTAACCTGGCCTGTGTGACCAGCTGAGGACACTCAAAAGGACCCCATGGGGTGGTGGTCCTCTAGATGCAGATGCAAAACCCTTGTTCCCCAGTGGACACAGCCCCCTTCTCAGAAATGAACACCCTCTATGGGCCTTGGTGCCTGTATAGGGCGTGCACATTGGAACCTCGAGCAGGTGTGGGAATTATGTGGATACCCAGGGCTGCCTGGAGTAAGAAGGATAAGGTAGTTCCTTGGTCCCCAGAGGGTACCGAGTCTGTCATTGTTACTGATGGCTTGCATTGGAACCTTCACTTCCAAATGCTGCTGGTAAAGGCCATATCAGCACATTTGCTGAAATGTGGAGACTCCAAAACTCTTGGGCCACATGGAAGACCAGTGAAAGAGTCTGTGCTGGGCAGCTGCTTTGTTTATTGTTGTCATTTTGCATAAAAGTGTATGTCTTTTTGCCAACAGCTGGAGCAGAGCCAGAAGGAGGCCTCAGACCTTCTGGAGCAGAACCGGCTCCTGCAGGACCAGCTGAGGGTGGCCCTGGGCCGGGAGCAGAGCGCCCGTGAGGGCTACGTGCTGCAGGTAGGGTGGAGGGGCTGCTGTGGCCCATGGTGCGCTCAGGAGCTTCAGTGTGAAGGGTTCATGCTCAGGCAGGCTAGGAGTGTGCAAAACTTGGCTCAGCAGGGGCCGCCTCCTGGGAGCTCACACCTCTGGGCTCTTCTGCCACAGGACTGGACTCTCAATGTGCTGGGGCCCGGGGGGGTGGTGTTTTTCCCTCCTGGTATGACATTTTGGGGAATCTCCCTGAAACCTCTACATCTAAGGACTTTTTTTGGTAATAAAATCATTGTGGTGCCCTTTCCCTTTGACTCTGAAAGTAGCCAATGTACATTTATTATGAATACCATACATTTGCATGTGATTTCTCATAGTTTTCACTATAGTAATATTGGGCCTGTTGTACAGATTGAAGACATTGAATCACACAGCAAGTCCGGTCCCTGCTTACAACCAACAGCAAGTCAGTGACAAAGCTAGCACTGGACCCCATTCCCATCTGTGTTTATACCACATCTGCAGGCAGACCTGGGGCTCTTACCACTACTAGTCCAACCCTGGGATACCTCCTCTGAGATCCTGTACCACAGAGCCCTGATATAGGGGTGTCACAAGGCTGGAGCTAACCTGGTCCAAGGGCAGGCCTGTGTCTGCTGACTTTCTTGCAGCGTGCCAGGCCCTGTGCCAAGTATCGGGCATGAAACAGATATACTCCTGTCCCCATTGAGCAGTAGGGGAGATTGTGATAGGAAGATTGATACATAAATACTGCAGGAGAAGTGAAATGGGGTACCAGAACAGGGAGCCTGAGTTCTCAGCAATGGCTGAGGGTATAACATTAGAATCAGGGTCCTCGGTTCAAGACTTGGCCCTGCTACTGACCCCCAAAGCAAGTGCATGTGTCCCCTCCTCTACAGCGGCAGCCTACTGCCTGTGTAGACTTAGACCCAGGGATCCCTGAGGGCCCTTCCAGCTCTTAGACCCCGAGTCTCTGTCATGTATTGAGTGTCTACATTTCCAGACCGTAGTGCGCTGACCTTGGTCTGAGTCGTCCCAGGCAGCAGGTGAAACGGGCACTCGGCTGGCCTCTGACCATAGTCTGCCTCTTTGCAGACTCTCTGCAGTTTCTTCTCATGCGTGCTCCTTGGGCCTTCTGTTCCTCTCTGCCCCACGTTCCCTAGACTTTCCTCTCCAGCCTCTTCCACCATAGTCATTGCCATGCCCAGTTCAGACCTGGTGACGGTGGGCCTCCCCGCCAAGGTCATTTGCACTTGCCCTCCAGGTTTGAGGAGCATCTTTTTAATTCTTGATTGGGCCTCAACCTGTAAGAATTGACTTCAAATCAGGTGGTAAAGGTACAAGTTCAGCATGCCAAATTCGAAAATCTGAAATGCTCCAAAATCCAAAACTGAACGCTGACATTATGCTCAAAGGAAGCATTTACTGGAGCATTTCAGGTTTTGGATTTTTGGATTGGGGATGCTCAACCAGTAAGTAGAATGCAAATATTTTAAAATCCGAAATAGTTCTTGTCCCAAGTATTTTGGATAAGGGATACTCAGCTTGTACTAGCAGTGGACGTTGCACATTGCTAACCTAGGAACCTGCCTCTTTGTCTAACTTGGATAATTGCATGAGCCTACACTGAAGCCCCTGTTGGTCAGCACTGGGCAAAGCTGGTCTTTAATATCTTTTCCCTAAGTCTAATAACCTGTGACTTTTCACCACCCTTTATGCTTTGGAAATGCTTTTAATCACGACTCAGAATGCTCAGGGGGTCTGTGGGGTTAAGGGTCAGGAGCCAGCTGCTGGGGTGGGTGCTACACTAACTGCTGGGAGGAGCTTGCATGGTTTGGACATTGAGCGTGAAGTGTAACTTGAACTTAACATAACTGAGTGTCACATCTGTGGCTTCCCCGGCCAGCAGACCGAGAGGGAGCCACAGGCAGGCCAGATTCTTAGGCTGGGCTCAACTCACTCTTGTTTGTGTTGTTTTTCCCTACATTAATGAGTTCTGTCTCTGCATGCCTTTCAGTGTGGGGAGTTTTGTTTCATTTACGTTGTGTTTTGTTTTTGCATGCTTCACTTTTTCTCATTTTGAACTCCACAAAGGTTTGTTTGTTTTGTTGATTATTGTATTTTACTCCATGGTTTCCGTTCCCCCCTCGTTTTGTCTTCTTACAGGTAGAGATTAGTTCTTCCTGTTACTCTAGAGGACTGACTACACTTTCCACAGGAAAATGTTTGGATGTCACCTTGGTGACATCTCCCGAGCGTTACCTTCCTTCCTTCTCCTCCTGTCTTAGAAGGAAGTGGCACCATTTACCTACACCTTACGTCCTGCGCTTGTTTAGGATTTGTTGTCAAGACTGCATACTTTTTGTTTTGTGAAACAACAGCTGCAGGTGCTCTGCTCCTCCCGCCTGTCCCTCTTCCTGGCGCTCTCTTGTCCTTTAGTCTTTGTTTTGCTTCTCAGTGTGTTCCATTATTCAGTTTTGTTTGGTTTATTTCTCCTAGAAGCTATTTGGTTAAAGCTGTTTTCTGATGTTATTGTCCATGTTTTCTGTTTACCTGGAAGCAGCTACTTACTAAAAAAAAAGAAAAAAAAAGAAAAAAGATAATTTGTTGGATTTTTTTAATGGGAAAAAAGATAAAGTTGTGCAAAGGATAAAAGCCAAAGCCATCAAGGAGCTTTCTGTGGTTGTTCCTGGCCAGAGGTGTGACACTCAGAACTGGGAGGCCCGAGTGTTACTAACCAGTATTTAATCGGTTTTTTTAAGACTGAAGTGGCCGCCTCCCCATCGGGTGCCTGGCAGAGGCTCCATAGAGTCAACCAAGACCTTCAAAGTGAGCTTGAAGCCCAGTGCCAGCGCCAGGAGCTGATTACACACCAGATTCAGACCCTGAAGCGTAGCTATGGGGAGGCCAAGGACACGATCCGGCACCACGAGGCTGAGATCCGGAGCCTCCAGGCACGGCTCAGCAATGCGGCCGCCGAGCTAGCCATCAAGGAGCAGGCGCTGGCCAAGCTCAAGGGCGACCTGAAGCGGGAGCAGGGCCGGGTCCGCGAGCAGCTGGAGGAGCGGCAACACAGCGAGGCAGCGCTGAGCAGCCAGCTGAGGGCTAGCGAGCAGAAGCTTAAGAGTGCTGAGGCCCTGCTCCTGGAGAAGACGCAGGAGCTACGGGGCCTGGAGACACAGCAGGCGCTGCAGCGGGACCGGCAAAAGGAGGTCCAGAGGCTGCAGGAGCGCATTGCTGACCTCAGCCAGCAACTGGGCGCCAGTGAGCAGGCCCAGCGGCTGATGGAGGAGAAGCTGCAGAGAAACTACGAGCTGTTGCTGGAGAGCTGTGAGAAGGAGAAGCAGGCATTGCTGCAGAACCTGAAGGAGGTGGAAGACAAGGCCAGCGCCTATGAGGACCAGCTGCAGGGCCAGGCACAGCAGGTGGAGACCCTGCAGAAGGAGAAGCTGAGTGCCACTTTCGAGGGCAGTGAGCAGGTGCACCAGCTGGAGGAGCAGCTGGAGGCGCGAGAGGCCAGTGTGCGCAGGCTCGCAGAGCACGTGCAGAGCCTCTGCGATGAGCGGGACCTCCTTAGGCAGCGGTTCCAGGAGCTGACAGAGCGCGTGGCCACATCCGATGGGGATGTGGCTGAGCTCCGGGAAAAGCTGAGGAGAAGAGAGGCCGACAACCAGAGCCTGGAGCACTCCTACCAGAGGGTCTCCAGCCAGCTGCAGAGCATGCACACTCTGCTGAGAGAGAAGGAGGAAGAGCTGGAGCGCATTAAGGAAGCACATGAGAAGGTTCTGGAGAAGAAGGAGCAGGACCTCAATGAGGCTTTGGTTAAAATGGTTGCCTTGGGGAGCAGCTTAGAGGAAACAGAAATTAAGCTCCAGGCAAAAGAAGAGATTTTAAGGAAATTTGCAAGTGAATCTCCAAAGGACATGGAAGAGCCACAGAGTACCCCTGAAGAGACAGAAAGGGATGGCACTTTGCTCCCAAGCCAACCAGTCCAAGTCACTAGGGCCCCTCTGGGCCTCCCACACACAAGGCTCGAGGATGAGGACGAGGACCTGGGGGCTCCTCCGGGGGAGGAATACGGTGACGGCAGCCCCAGTAGGGAAGAGAGCATGGTGCCCCCAAAGTCAGTGGAAGTTCTTGACAGGGAGGGCCATCAGCAGGGCACAGCCAAACTCGACCAGGGGGCACCTGGTGTTAAAAGGCAAAGAATCCGGTTCTCCACAATCCAGTGCCAAAGATACATTCACCCCGAAGGGTCCGAGAAGACCTGGACCAGCAGCACATCTTCCGACACCAGCCAGGACCGGTCACCCTCAGAAGAAAGCATGTCCTCAGAGCCTGCACCCAGTGTACTGCCTGCACCTGGCGACTCTGACACGTACCTCTCTATCATCCACTCCCTGGAGACCAAGCTCTACGTCACAGAGGAAAAGCTCAAAGACGTGACCGTGAGGCTGGAGAGCCAGCAGGGTCAGAGCCGTGAGGCACTGCTCGCACTGCACCATCAGTGGGCAGGCACCGAGGCCCAGCTGCGTGAGCAGCTCCGTGCCAGCCTGCTCCAGGTTGGTGCGCTGGCCTCCCAGCTGGAGCAGGAGAGGCAGGAGAGGGCCAGGAGGGTTGAAGGGCATGTTGGAGAGCTTGGGGACTTCCAGGTCAAGAACAGTCAGGCCCTGATGTGCCTGGAAAATTGCCGAGAACAACTGAGATCTCTGCCTAGGGCCAGCCAGGAGGATGAGCAGGACGCACCTGCAGCCTCCCTGGCCAGTGTGGAGAGTGCGCTAGTCAGCGCCATCCAAGCCCTACGGCACTGGCCGGCCCCAGCCGTTGGCGGGGCCCATGCACAACTGGAGACAGGTGGCACCGAGGAGAACGGGAAGCCTGCCTCCCTGCAGCACTGCCCCCAGCCTGAGCTGACAGAGCAGGAGCGGGTGAGGCTTCTTTCTGACCAGATTGCTCTGGAGGCCTCGCTGATCAGCCAGATAGCAGACTCCCTGAAGAACACAACA